TTTAATAACTGAGATAATTAATAACCGACTTCATACTCTGTTTGGAAAAATTTTAAATATTTTTTAAAATTAAAATAACTAAACCAGAATGCTACTTGAAATTAGTCTCAAACAGGAATTCATGACAATTTGTGTGTGGATAATAATGTTGTGTATTAGGATTCATAAAATCCTTCTAAATCTATTTCGTTTTAGATGTTTGGTTTAAAATGTTTTATTTAAGTTGAACAGATTTTTAAAAGTTTTCAAGTTGTGGAAAAAAAGTGATTTATTTTTCTTTACTGAAAGTTCAACATAAAACAATTTAGAAACTAAAATTCTTAAAATGTCATTTTTATATTCTTTAAGTGAAAAATATTTTACCAATAACTAAATTTAAGAAAAAAATTAATTCATTTTTTTTGTATATATTCAAATTTTATTCCAAACTGACAATTGTTGATTTTTTGAAATATATTTCCAAATTAATTATTTTTTCCCATCATCCTACACTTTGTATAGTAAATAACAAAAAGTTACTACTTTTTTCCCAAAAAAGAAAAACAACTCTTGTTAATTTAGATACGTGTTAACAATATTGCAACTAAAGAATTAAAACACAATAAATAATTGAAATTCATCCACATCTTAACATAACAAATTTTTTAACGATAAAACTTCTGTTTTTTTAATAAGTTCAGCCTTAATCTGATTTTTATGTTTCATGCCTACTTGATATTATTTAAAATGATAAAATCTAAAATGTATTCTTTTGTGTTTAAATTCAATAAAGAATTACATTTGAAAACTTAATTTCCTTTTTTTTGTTAGTGGAAATAAAAATTTTTCATTTGAAAATAAAAGTAATGAAAATATTTGAACACTTACTTTATATCCGTGATGGTCTGTTTAATTTTGCAAAACTTGTCAAACAAATCATTAACAAATGTTTTTATTTATTTCTTTTTGTCCCATTCTGAATCTATCAAATAAAAATTAAATAAATGTATTTGGCAAATCTGATTCCAAAAAGCATAAAAACTAAATGACAGGAGAAAAGTATGACAAAAATTTTAGGAAATAAAGTTGTCGCCTTTGTTAATTGCTTTTTTTTTCCTCATTAACAAATTAATTGCTGGACTTGTTTTCTTATTTCTTATTTTGGTGGGACAAATGAAAAAATTTTTATCAACGATTACTTCTGAGCAAATGAACAAACCAATGACATTATTGGACTGAGAAAAAAATTCTTAATGCATTGAAAAAAAAGCCAGACAGATATTGAACTTTTTATATAAAATTTTGTTTTGTGCATTTAAGCGATTAATTTCAATTTTTTATTCATAAATTATTTTCTTGTCTTAAACAAATCACTCTGATTCATGTATTTCTATTGCTTCTTGTAAAAATAACTGTTGGGGCAAAAATCTAAATATATTTAAAAATTGAGATAAAAAATTTTGTTTGTGTTTTAAATTATTTTTTTTTTTTTTGTTCATCATAAGTAAGAGCGCAAAAAATACAACAAATTTCATGATCCCTTCACTAAGGTATCTCCAAAAAATTTTAAATGGGTTTGGAAAATGAATTTTCTTCATTTAAACAACTTAATTAAACAAAAAAATTGCACACTATTTTCGTCCAGTAAGCAAAAACATGATCTTAAACTTGAAAATAGAAATGAAAATGAAACTTTTTACATCAAATTTTAACACTATGATTTTCTCTTTGATAAAAAAAAGGCTATAAATGAATTTGTCAAACCTTCTTTCTGTTTAAAATTAGTTCAAAAAAAAATTCTGAGACGTTTTCTGGTCTCTGCAAAATTTAAGTTAGTTAATTGATTTGGGGCAACAATGGCTTGGGGTATTTAACCCTTAGAAAGCATAAAAACGTAGTTTTTGGAAGCATTTTTTTTTAAAACATTTAAAATCTTTATTTCATTGTGAATCAAGGGTTGTTGCCAACATTTTGTTAAAAACTCTAATTGATTTAAAATCATTGAAATGTAATTATTTGGAAATCTAAGTAGCTCTATTTGAACTGTGGTATCTCTGGACTATCTTTTAATTTTTAAAATCACCATTGCCCTTTTAAGTAATTAACTAATATTTCACTGTCTTCTACTAAATAGTAAGGAACATAAATTAATACCCCGACATCAAAATAACTCTCACAAAAAAAAAATGTTCTAAAACTTCTACAATAAACAAACATTGAAAACATTTTTATGAAATTTTGTTCGCAAAATTAAAAATACTTTATTGAGTGTTGATAGCATAGCTATCTTGGACAAAATTAACAGTTTATGAAATCTAAAACTCAGATTGCTACATGAGTATTATCCAAGTCTAGCCTATTTAATTTTGAATTCCAGAAGTATCTACCTTAATGTGTGAATCCAAAACCGTTTTATAGTCGGATTGTTGTGAGAAAAGTAAGGTGGAAATAGAAAAGGCATATTAGCAAGGGATATGTAGATATTGATTGATCCTGAACATAAAGCAATCAAGATTGTAGTTGTCAGGGAAATCTGCTTGAGTCTGTTTCAAAAAGCCACAATTCTGCAAAAAAAAGTTGGGTGGAACTTGCTCCTTATCAAAGGAACATGAAGTGAATAAATATGATTTGCCAGCAGGAATATGGCATTGCAGGTCCCAGCTTTGAAGCTCTGAGCAGGTTGAAACTCATTCAAGCATCTGACATAGTCAAAGTAGTATAGTAGTGAGAGGCTAGCAAGTTTTGTCTCTGGGATAAATCACTCCTACAAAGCTGTGTAAGCACTTTTGAACTCAAGACTGGACTGTTAGGGATTGAGCAGCACCAGCTAAGATATGGCAGATATGTCCATTCTTGGTTTGATCAAACCCTTGTAAAGATAGAGTATATGGCAGTTGGGTTAGTTATTTAACTTGACTCCATGTAAATTATGACTACATTGCAGCAGGCCAGAGGATATTTTGCAGATGATCTGCCTCAAGTTGCTAATTAAACATGTGTGGACAAGAAGTGTGCAAGGATCTCCTTGAATCATGCTTCTAAATCAATTGTTTTAGATGTTTGTGAAAAATATTTGGCATCCTGAAGTGAAGGTTTTGTAATGTTTTCAATAATGGAAAACTTGCATTAATATTTCTTTTGCTGAAAGTCCAAGAGAAATGGGCAGAAATAAAATTATTAAAAATATTTAAAACTATTTTTATGATTCTTTAAGTATATCTTGGGTTATACAATAACTTAATTTACTATTTAAAAAAATTAATAATTTTTTCAGTATATATTTAAAATTTTTTATTCCAAACTGAAAACTTATTTGTGGAAATATATATTACATGACCTAATTGTTTAAAACATCATCTTATTTTTTGTACTTATAAATAACAAAAGTTTGAATCCAGTAAAACGTCTTTATAAATGTAATGTTCAATGTTTGAAAAGATAATATTGTTCAATCTTATTAGATCCATACTAAATAACAAATTGTTTCAAATTAAATTTTAAAACTGTCAAATATTCTGAAACCAGTTCATTTCAGCATCTTAACTTCATGCTATGAAGTATGAAGCTATTTTTCAAGACAATTTTACAATGTAAAAAGCAGCCAATAATTTTTCAGTTAATTTGATTATGTTTCATGTACTTGATATTTCTAAAAAATTATGGGATCTTGAAACTGGTAAACAATTCTTTTTTGTATTTAAATTATCAATAAATGGAAAAATTATGCGTTTGAACAGTTAAATTTCAAAATTTTTTTTTTTCATGTAGATAACAGGTCAATCTTTCAAACAAATGTTTTAGAATAAAACTCTCATTTTCAAAATAAAGCTTAAATGAAAAATACATTTATTGGAACTGAAAAAAACTTTTCTGGTCAAATGGTCCTGCATTTTCACTTCTTGTGATTTATTTTGATAATATTTGCAAAACTTATTTAGAACAAATATTTTATCATCTCTTGGAAATGTTTACATTATTTATTTACAATTTTAAACACAAAAGCCATTTGAATTACCTATAAATTAATATTTAGACTGTAAAAATTGGGTAATGAATACTTTTCCTTGGTGCTTCGCTAAACATTTGAAGTGGTTCTTCGTGCCCACCATTTTAGAATTGTATGACAGAGTTGAGATGAGTTCCATTAAAATTATAATGGTGTCTATTCCCTTCAAAGTAACATTAGAATACATTTGAAGAATTTTTGGATCTTCTTTGACTAGCTTCTTCTCCCAGACAAAATTATTATCGTTCCATTAAATAAAATTCTATTAATCAAATGATTTATTATTTATTATTGAGGGAGAGATGAAAAATTCTTGGCTAATATCCTCCATAATTGTTTCCAGAAAAAGAAAAAGGGAGGTGACCCTTTTGCAAAAAGTTCTTTTTGTGTTAACAATTGATTTAACTGAAATAAGAAATCACAAAAATTGTGTCCATTTAAGCATTAATTGAAAAAAAAAAAAATAATATAGACAGATATTGAACTTTTTAAAAATTATAAAAATTTTGTTTTTTATTTTATTTTTTATAAAATGTAATTCATTTTAAAAGAATAACAATGTTTCAATTTAACCTAAAATGTTTAGAAAATCTCCAAACATAAGCTATGATGACATAAAAGAAAACTGAAGGCTTCTTTTTTTTTCTTTTTCTTTTTTAAAAATAACTTTTTATGGGCAAAAAAAGTGCTAAATATAAAAAAGAACTAAATATAACCAGATCAAAATTTTTTTATTTTATAATTATTTTTTTTTTTTTTTTTTTTTGCTTTGCTGTGTGACAGCTTAGTGAAATATACAATAATATATATCCCTTTTAAATGTTGTTAAAGAAAATTAAGACTTAAATGTTTGATAGCTTCTTTCTTCATTTGAAACAGCTTCTGAAAATTAAACAAAAAAGGGTTCCTTTTTTTTTTCTCTAATATATTGCAAAATTTTTACTTAATTAAACTTGATGAGAGAATTGAAAATGCTTTTACATCAAAATTTTAACACTATGATTTTCTCTTTCAGTAAATGAAGGCACTGGAGTAACTGTCCGTCCAAACTATACTTCTTTTCTCCATGCTATTCGTTCAATTGTCTGCTCCCAAGGATTTTCTGGTCTCTACCAAGGAGTTTCTGCTAATTGTGTTGGGGCAGGAATGGCTTGGGGTATTTATTTTTTTGTGTAAGTATTCACTTAGTTTTGGAAGCACTGGTATAATCAACATTTAAAATCTTTATTACATTGTGAATCAAGGGTTGATAAATTAACATTTTTGTTAATAACTCTACTCTTGATTTATTGAATGCAATAGAAATGTAACTCTATTTGAATGTGTGTGTAGCTCTATTTGAACTGTGGTATCTCTGGAATAGGCTTTATGTTGAAGATCACCATTGCCTTTAAGCACACTGACTTAACCCACATATCACTGTCTTCTACTAAATAGTAAGGAACATAAGTGTGTATACCCGACACTCCTAACTATAGGTCACAGTAAAAAAAAAATGTTCTACTCTAATGTATACAGTCTTCTATCAGATGTTCCATTCATTGATAATTATCATTCTTGGTGATTTTTTTTGTTCATAAAAAAAATTAAAAAATACTTTGTTGAGTGTTGATAGCTATCTTGGTGGGAAGACAAAAATTAACAGTTTATGAAATCTAAAACTCAGATTGCTACATGGAAGTATTGTCAAGTCTAGCCTATTTTAGTACAAGGCCAGAAGTATCTACACACTTAATGTGTGAATCCAAAATGGTTATCTAGTCGGATTGTTGTAAAGAAAAAGTAAGGTGGGGAAATAAGAAAAGCATATTATGAGGATATGTAAGATATTGATTGATCCTGAACATAAAGCAATCAAGATTGTAGTTGTCAGGGAAGCATCTGCTTGGGAGTCTGTTTCAAAAAGCCACAATTCTGCAAAAAAAGCTGGGTGGAACTTGCTCCTTATCAAAGGAACATGAAGTGAATAGGGATGATTTGCCAGCAGGAATATGGCATTGCAGGTCCTAGCTTTGAAGCTCTGAGCAGGTGAAACTCATTCAAGCATCTGACATAGTCAAAGTAGTATAGTAGTGAGAGGCTAGCAAGTTTTGTCTCTGGGATAAATCACTCACAAAGCTGTGTAAGCACTTTTGAACTCAAGACTGGACTGTTAGGATTGAGCAGCACCAGCTAAGATATGGCAGATATGCTCCATTCTTGGTTTGATCAAACCCTTGTAAAGATAGAGTATGGCAGTTGGAGTTAGTTATTTAACTTACTCCATGTAAATTATGACTACATTGCAGCAGGCCAGAGGACATGTTTGCAGATGATCTGCCTCAAGTTGCTCATTCATTTGTGTGTGGACAAGAAGTGTGCAAGGATCTCCTTGAATCATGCTTCTAAATCAATTGTTTTAGATGTTTGTGAAAAATATTTGGCATCCACAAGTGAAGGTTTTGTAATGTTTTCAATAATGGAAAACTTGCATTAATATTTCTTTGCTGAAAGTCCAAGAGAAATGGGCAGAAATAGAAATTATTAAAAATATTTAAAACTATTTTTATGATTCTTTAAGTATATCTTGTGTTATACAATAACTTAATTTACTATTTAAAAAAATTAATAATTTTTTCAGTATATATTTAAAATTTTTTATTCCAAACTGAAAACTTATTTGTGGAAATATATATTACATGACCTAATTGTTTAAAACATCATCTTATTTTTTGTACTTATAAATAACAAAAAGTTTGAATCCAGTAAAACGTCTTTATAAATGTAATGTTCTATAGGTAGTTTTGAAGTAAAAGAAAGATAATACTAATGAAATCAATAATTATTAGATCCAACCAGCCTAAACATTGGGAAAAATTGTTCTCAAAAATTAAATGTTTAAAAAGTAGCGCAAAAGGGATATTCTGACTGCTCATATCAGTTTCATTTCAGCAGTTAATGCCTTGCAACTTCATGCTATGATTCATAACGCAACAAATATGAAGCTATTTTTTTCAGTAGTACATCAGTAAAAAAACACACTCATTTACACAATGTAAAAACAGCCAGAAGTGCAATTTGAGAGTAGGGCAAAGACAGGTCAAATGTATACCACCTGACTTGTCATAAAAATGTATCCATTGGAGGTGCATGCCTGAAACTTTACTAATTGTGGGATGCGGAATGCAACAAAACAACACTTTTCTCTAATATTGAATACTAATTGTCATAGATGTTTGTAATGATGGAAAAATTATGCAATGTTTAAGTTGTCAAAAAAGGAAAGTAATAACTGCAAAATTTATAATTTTGTTTCATGAAATGAATAACAGGTCAATCTTTCAAACAAATGTTTATTATAAAGCTTAAAACTCTTATCTTCAAACTAAAAGAAAATTAAATATAAAAATACATTTATTGGAACTGATGAAAAAACTTTCTGGTCAGTTGGAATGGTCCTGCATTTCACTTCTAATGGTGATTTACTGTTTGAATTTGTTTATAAGTCTCTGCTATAGCCAATATTGTTGGAACACACCATATTTTATCATCTCTTGGAAGTTGCATTATATCATTATATTATTGTACAATATCATCCAATAAAGGCTATCAAAAATAATCATTTCTGCCTTAGATTACAACTGTAATTATGATTACAATATTGGCTAGAGATATAATATGACTTGGTCACTGTAAAAATTGGAGTAGTAGTATACTGCAGACAATTGACCTTGGTGCTTTAACTAAAAGTCATTTGAAGTGGTTCTTCATCATAAATTTTATTTTGAATACTCATATTCACTGAGTGCCTTTTCTTCCTTCCTTTTTTTCTTTAGAGTTGGAGATGAAGTTCCATTAAAAATTATAATGCTGTAATGTCTATTCCCTTCATCACAGTTTTTAACTTTATTAGAATACATTTGAAGGAATTTTGGATCTTCTTTGGCCTGCTTCTCCCACTTAGAACAAAATTACTTATCATTCATTGACCAGAGTATTAAATATAAATTCTATTAATCACCCACATAGGGGTTTCTAGCTTGGAAAATAATAATATATGAAAAAAAAAAAAAACATGAACCAATACTCACTTAAAGAAATTTTGCCTAATATCCTCCATAATTGTTTCAGAAAAGAAAAATTGTGAAAAGGCAACACTTTTGCAAAAGTTCTTTTTTGTTTTTAAGAAAATGTAACAATTGCATTTTTAACTTCCAAAATAGGACTTAATCACAAAAATTAGTAATCATTTAAGAAAAATCATTTAATCATGTAAAAAAAAAAAAAAAAAAAAAAATAATCATTTTAAAAAAAAAAAAAAAGACAAAGGATACTGATTACACGACAATTTTTGATGGGCCAAAAATTAAGCTAAAACATATCCAGTTCATTTTTTTATTTTATTTCTTATAAAAATGTATCCCATTCATTTTTTTAAAAGAAAATGTAAATAAAGTTTCAATTTAACCCACAAATCCTGAGAATTAGAAAATATTACTGGCTATGAACATAAACGAAATGAATGACCCATAAAAGAAAAACTGAAGGCTTCTTTTTTTTTTCTTTTTTCTTTTTTTAATTTCATTTTAATTTTTATGGGCAAATTAGAAAGTGCTAAATATAAAGAACTAAAAATATAACCAGTTCATATATTTATTTTTATTTTATAATATGAATTTTTTTTTTTTTTTTTTTTTGTTTAAATGATTCAAGGAGACAGCTTGGACAAAATGCAATGAATAATTACTTTATACAGTTTTAAAATGCATCATTAAAGAAAAATTAAGACTTAAATTGTGTATTGATCTTGTAATATATATATTCAGCTGGGTCTTCATTCAATACAAATTTCAATCAGACCCAACAGTTCTGCACAAAAAGAAAGCAATGTAATCTTTTTTTTACTTCAAGTTGTATTGGTGCAGAGATATGAGATCAATTGATTGCTAAAGACAAGACATTGCTCCATAAGAAGGTGCAATTTTTATTGTTTTAGTGTTGAATTTCTCTGGTATTTCATTTACTAAAGTTTTCAACTTACAAAATCTTTAGGAAAACAGCTTCAAACCTTATCAAATTGAGAAATGTCTTTTCTTTAAGATTGGTTTATTTTGATATGTGTAGGGAGAAACAATTTTGAGTGGAATAAGTTTGAAAAACATCAATATGAAATTGTCAGCTTTGAAAATGTAGAAAAAGAAGCATCCTTTCTTGAAATAGTGACATAATTTAAAGACAGAATAAAAATACATCATCACATATGAGAAATAATTGTATCTTTTATAAAGAGAAAATATTAAATTTTGTTTGCATAATAACTCTATCAAAATAGCCTTAAAAATAAATGAGATATCAGCAGTTAAACTGAAAGAAATCTCACTATTTTGACCAATTTTCACTGTGTAAACTAGAGCTGTTTGAGATACCTATTTATACTCTGCAGTCTAAATTGGAATCAAGACTGCAATTACAAATTACTTGCTAAAACTACCCAACTTGACTCCATAGCATTAAACTTAATCTGCGAAAGTCTAGTCTGTCTGCTAGAGCTGCTAACATGAGCATGGATAATACGCACCTTTCTCTATTCATTTTCTTAATTCTGCCTTTAATAGTTGGATAGATTTTCTTCATATACTTTGTACATTTGCATGAGATGTTTAATACATGCACTCAAATCTTTATGCATCAACAGTTTCAGTTTCCATACCACCTTGAAATAAAGAAAGCTCTTTTTGCCAGCATGAAACATTTTCTGACACAATCATTACAGCAATAGTAAAGGCAGGCAGAAACTACATTGTACTTGGAGCTATCATATATATTTCTTCTACTCTTGAAAGAAAATATTAAAGTGAAAGCATAGGGGGACTTAATAGTTAACTTTGCTTAACACAGAGCTAAAGATTTGGAGCAAAGTTTTAATGAACTGGTTTCAGATTGTCATTGACATTGTTCAAATCTCAGCAGACCTTAGTTTTGAAAAGGAGGAGGATACAGTACAGTTTACATCTGTTATGCTTGACCATGTTGGGAATAGAAGTTAAAACTGAAGATACACTAATCAGTTCAAGGCATTTTCTCATGTCTTCTACAAGTTAAAGGAGAAACAGTGACACCAGTCTTGTGCAGAATAGTCCTTTCTGCTGGTGCTTTAGCCAAAGTGTCCACATATGCTCATTATGTAACCTCC